CAGATCTATCACACGTTTGTCACATCTGGGTGAAGAGTATACCTGGTAGAGAAGTGGTGCAGTTTCTCACATCTTATTAAAGGGTACCTTTGTTAGGATGTCCTTCGGATGCTTTCAAAAGATACTTCTACTCTCTCCCTCACAACATTCCCTCTACCTATTCAGTGTAGGATTCTAGCTATGTATGTGAATGGAAGTAAGGTATCTTGTTGGAAGTTATGATTTTCCTATATTGTCAACTGGTGCTTACATTTCTGCCTAAACTTGAGTGATAGTTAGGTATAATAGCATAGACGGAGTCAAGTGGCACTACTATTGGTGGAGGTTTGTCACATGATAATTTGCATGCGAGAATTAATTAAACCACATGAATCAAGGGGTGCATGGGAGTGAAAGGCTTGTGCCATGTGAAATAATTTGTGCAAATAAAGGGTAACACTGAACAAGAATAGCTATGTATGTGACCAGAAGTAAGTACCTGTTAGAAATACATTTTCAGTGGAGAAAGATTATAACTTCTATTATTATTATACATTACTGTGATCATACATCCCCAATTTCTGGGGACAGTCTTGGGATAATGAATGTTATCCCCTATTTGAAAAAGTCACCTCAAAATACCCTTTAATTTTTTTCTTATATTTATTATTAAGTCTGTAATATATTCCAAATAAACATTCAGCCAGTTTTATTATTATTAGCTTAGGTCTAGCATTATCAGGTAACAACACTAGTGTACTCACCATTGCTTGGTTCTTGAATATGCTATAGGTGAGTTTAATCTGAGTGTGTATTGATATATACTGTAGTAGCAGCACAAATATTAATCCTGGCTTACTAGAATTTTAGGTGAAAATTCTTAGTTCAGCCAGTTCTGTCAGTGATTATTTATTCTGTGATGCCTGAAAAGAAGAATGTGTTGAGTATGATGGCTGTTAGATTTTGGCACATTACTAGACCATGGCTGACAAGTAGTATCTTTGGAAAGTAATTTGAGACAGTTACAAAATAGTTTGTGCAGGAGCTGGAGGCAGTCTTTTATAAGTTATTAGAAGTATGTGATGATGTATAATAGAGATAAATATATATATATAGTAATATACGTGGATAAATAAATGTTTATTGATAAATTGTATTATTAGTATTTGTTTTTTTTTATGATTTATATAGTGCATGAGTAGGTTTCACATAACACATAGTCAGAAAAGCAGTTAAGTTCATCTTGTTCTATATGCCTATGTCTGTGTTATTTTCTGTTCTTCCGATGGATTGTGTGCTGTAATGTTGCATGTTGTGCAGGAATGTCAACAGTAGTGTCTTTCAATGGTAGTTCAGATGGTGTCTCAAGGTTACAGCCTCCTCTGTGTTTGAATGGGAGAGATCATTCACTTAGGTGGTGCTAGTCATTCTGAACAGATCCAACATTACCTACTAAATAAGGAACAATGAATTTAAACAATCTTGTAGACAAATTCTGCTTGATTATATAACATCTACTAGAAGTGATAGTCCCATGTTTAACAAGTACACATCTTTTTGAATGAATAGATATTGTTGATTTTATGCATTACATTATATCTGGTCTCTTTCTTTCCCAAACTTCAGAGATTTATTATTATTCCTTAGCATATATCCTGGTTGAATCTTCTGTTATTATGTGGACCTATCTTATTGCTCTTAAGTTAATCCAGTTTGATCTGAGTATACCACACTATCTGTTAACTGTTAAGTCGAATGGGAAGGTATGTTTTTGCTATGAGGAGGGAGAAATCTGTTTTTAACAGTTGGAATAGTCAAAGTTAAATCAACGTGGCATGTAGGAGAATAAGTAGGAAAGCGAAGTGATGTGTGTAATGCATGGACTTGAAATGTTTGTTATGGAAAGTATTGTAGACATGGTAGGTACAAGTTATCATACAGCCATATTCCTTTAGCAAATAATGAAAACTTTATAGCTAAATAGGATAGTGGAAGTTTTATGGCTGTAAGCATGATTTTCTGTAAGTCAAAGTTGAGTATAAAAAATTGGGGTCCAGGCACTCTTGGCATGCTAATTTATTAGTCCAAAAGCAAACCAAATTCATATTAAATTTTTCCATACATTGAAAAATAAAAACATTTTATAGAATAACCCATATCTTTACTGCAGTAGCTATTGTAAATAGTTGAGTTTGAACAAAATTCACACCACAACATAATTGTACATATCAAAGATTTTAAATAAAATTTTCAACATTTTGTCTTGTTTCCCATAATAACCAAAATATACAGTAATAATATATCCAGCTACAATGGGGAGTATAAAGATATTATTGCTGCTTTAGTTTCTCGCTCTTTTCTGATTCATACCATTTAACTTAAAGACGGGAGTGCAGTCTCCTTAAAATAACCTGCAAAACATTTAAGGTAAAACATTTAAAGTGCATTACAAGAGTTTCAAAAAGAAAGCTCGTTATGGATTGACAGTTCACTTCTACTTGTATACTTTCACCAGCTCTGTCGAGCTTTCGCCAAAGGCAGAGCTGGATATGAAATTTTCTGCTCCAAAAATTAGTCAAATTGCACATCTACTTAATTGTAATGTGCATTTCTTTCAGACTTTTGTTGAAGTATGACTTGCAGTTGAACTGATAATTAAATGCAACACCTAGAAAACTTAATTTTGTTCATGAAGGTGATGGGTGTATCATACAACCTAATATGACCTTCTTTAATTTAGAAAATTTCTTGTTCAAAGTTTTGTGAAAAATACGTGCCTGAGTGTCTGAAGGCTTTAGAACAATCGGCCATTTGTTACACCTTACTGTAATTTGGTTGAGAAAAATCTGGACTCTGGTGGCAATGAATGAAGGGTTGCAAGATATGTCACCAGCATACTGAGAAGTGTGTATTAGTGGAAAGGGGGAGATTGGTAGATCATTAACATATACAGTGTGTAGTGTAAAGAGCAGAGTATGGAACCCTGTGGAACTCTCATTATTAAATGAAAAGAAATTGCTAATGCACCATGGCAGTGTGGTTTGTGAGAAAATTTGAGACTCACCAAAGAAACTTGGATGGAATGTTATAAGATTTAAGCATAAATTTAATACCATTATTACAGACATGTTACATCACATATATTATACACTCAAAAGGTATTTGAATCTGTTATCCCAGCAGCAGTTATTTTTTCAATTATGAATTTTGTGTTTTATAAGTTAGTAAAAATTATAATTTTTGTCTGTTTCAAATTAAGTAACTATTATTTCATTACATTATTCTGTAATAATTATAATACTTGATTCAATTATGTTGGGTATTTTCAGTATTTTTTTTTTGCTGTCCCAAGCATTTCTGTACATACATGTGTGTGTGTGTGTGTAATATATAACTTTGTAAAAAGCTTTGTCAACAAAGTTTTTGTATTTCAGTCCAGGCATGGTCTAGTAGTTAGCACACCAGAATGCATATCATAAGATGTAAGGTTTATGGTGTTATATGCTGCTGAACACGCTCCCACACTATGGTGTATTATAAGAGTAAGAACCATGTCATCATAGGCAATTGGTGCTGCTCTCTGGTTGCCCTCCTTTTAGACAGTAGTTCAAAATTAGGAACAACTATGCTGAACCTAGACTTTTAGCTCATTTGTCACATAAAATGTTGTGTTGCAAAATACCAAATGCCCATATTCTTTATTTATTGTTGCTGACAAATTAACAACAATATTAGAAAAAAAAATATTTGGTATATAGCATTAAGTATTTTCACTTGAAGAAAATATATAGAAGTTCACTGATTAAATGCAGTTAAATAGCATGCTTTCTTAACTTGAGCTTCATAATTTATTCAGACAATAGACCATGAGATATACTAAATGATTATCATGTTACTTTACTATTAGAGCTTACATAATAATCTGTTTGTGACTTCCCACTCGATTTACATCTATTCTCAAGCAATTATGAGAACAAAGAGAACATAAGGGATTTACTCTTGTTAAATGGCAGTTATTATATGAACTGAATGTAAAAGAAATCCTTATGGTGTTCCAAGCATTCCACTATTCTATGTAACTGTAATGGTAATTAGCAATTTAACAGAGAAAACATTCTTATATAAATGCATTCTTGTTCTGCCTGCAAGTGGCTGTGCAGGTGGCCTGCATTTTTTGTTTTGCATCCTGTGGAACAGCACTTTTTGTGTATACTATGTACATTTATGTTTCAATAAAATGTTGTTTATTTTACAAGTGTGTGTATTTGCTCACTGTACCTGGTCCTTCAAATATTTGAAAGGTTTAAGAGTCTCTATACCTCAAGGATTTTATATGTTTTGTTACACTGGTGTATTTGTCACATCTAAATGACATTGTTATAATAACTGCTCTATAGAGTATCTAATTGTTTTTCATTAGTCATCTATAATGCTTTTTTTTCAGACTTAAAAAATGCCAACGTTTAAGAGTGTGCAATCAATTCAAAGTATTTTATCTTTATATAGTAAATTATTAAGTAAAATAAATTTTTTTTATTGTATTTGAGACTGGGTAAAGGTCTCATTTTTAAATATTTATTGTGTACTATTAAATGTTGGCTTTTTAAACATATATCTATGTTATCTGTTATGCTTATTTAATTGTTGATACAGAGTTAAGTAATATACAGTATATTGTAGCCCTAACCATAACTGCTTTTCTGCATATTTGATACTTATAATAAACTCTTAAAACTTTTAATGGGATTTTGATACCTTACATGCACATATCTCAGTATCTATAAATTGATATTAAACATGTAAGTTTAGAATTTCTAATATTTGTTTTGTCTTTCAGTCACCTGGTTTTAACTTTGTACTTTCTCGGTGTAATCTGTTCATTTTTAACAATTTTGAACTAATATTATTTAAAAACTAAATTCATCTATGTTAATTATGGAATAATTTCTAGATTTAATTTTTTTACATTTTCTATTCTTGTTTTTGTAGGTTAACAAATCCAATTTTTTGTTTACTTGTAGGGCTGGTGTTCAACCTGGTGATATCATCACACACATTAATGGTAAAGCAGTTAAATCTTCCTCTGATATCTATAAAGCTCTTGAGTTAAATCAACCTCTCAGATTAACCATCCAGAGAAAGTATAATACTTTATCAGTAGCAGTGCAGCCCCATGAACAATAGTGATTGGTAAAACTAAATTCTGATAGATTTCTACATCTTGCTTTTTACTTCTGAATATCACAAAAACGTTTGATGTGACATTTAAACACAAGCAAACTAAGTAATTGTATTAAAACTCTGAAATAAAATGTATAAATAAGCTATGTGATTTATTATTGTACCGTGTATTTATTACCAGTTAAATTTATAGTAAAATAACATATGAAAATGAAATATATTAAATTGTTTAAAAGTAACTAAATTATATAACATTATCCTGTCAGGAAAACTTAAAAGTGATAGTATAGTATTAATTTCTCATCTGAGTATCACGTTATTAATAGTATTTTGGGCTGTAATTCAAATGTTGTCCGATAAATTCAGGCCATCTTTGCTGAAGTGGATTATGCCTTCATTAACAAAGTAAGTAGTGCTGGTGTATAATCTTTCTAAAAGTGTTTATAAGGGAATGCTTCACTACCATCTCTAACAAATACTCCCAAGTAGTGGGCATTTTGAAGCAAAGGAGATCAATTTTTTATGATTTTGTGAGATAATATTTGCATCAATATTCAAACAGTCTAAGATAATATATATAACTGACAATTTGATCCAGGAAAATAGTTCTTCCTTGCACACACACACACACATCTATATATATATGATCCTTATTGTAATTATACAGAAAATTATGCAGTTCAGCGAATCATATCTCACAAATTGTATGGCATAGGAAAGTGAAATTGCACAGGAGTGTTGACATGTAGATGCAGATATCACAATTGTCATGTGTGGCCACCAAGGGCAACATCATTATTTGTTTTGCATATTTCCCATGGACATAAATGATCCTTTCAATCACAGTACAGCTCTTTCAATCAACATGAAAATGACAAGTGTGCAGAGAGGTGAACTAGTGAAATATCACACCAAAGGATGCAATGCCAATGTAGCTCTCAGGGAATAGCATAAAATACACAGTGGGCCTTGTTCCAGTGTTGCTGTGTGGAAATTCATAACAAATATTTGAGAAAGTGGTTTATTTTTGTGGTAGACCATATAAAGGCCACCAACACCTAATGAAACTATTGCTGAGAACAGCCATGCCATAGCAAAACAAGTCAGCACAAGTGTACATGGGTGCATCAGTGTATGTTATGTCATCTGGTATCTGGATTTGCCAATTTCAAGTGCTTGTATTGCTCTTTGGTAAACTTTGCAAATGTTTCCTTTCAAGGTGCATTATGTTCAAGCACTAAATTAAACAGATTTATGGCACTCCTGGTGGCATTATGTAGCAATGGTGGCATTTGTATCCACATAATACCATTAACAATCCTATGCAATTTCATTTTACTGTGCCATATTGTTTGCAAGATATGTTGCTCTGAACCTTAGGAAGTTCTTTATAATAACTGTGTAACAACCTAAAAAAATTCAGTCATAATAGTTTTCAAACATATCACCTACAATTATTTATTTTCAATGATTGGCAAGGATGAATCTTGCAATAGACATCATATGTTAAAAGCACAAGTCACATCTATATACTTAAAAATACTCTGATTTATTTTTGGTTTTAAGTAATTTATATTAAAAACATTTGATGAAAATAATATTCTTCAATTTTTAATTCCTTTTAACTTACTATTTCTGAAAAGAAATCTGTAAGATAAACAACAAAAAGTTGATGTACTGTATAATGCCAGAGAATAAATTTGGTACAATGCCAAAATGTTGTTCACAAACCTAAATTAATTTAGGTTACTCAATAGTGAATTAAAACATCTTAAAATCTCAATGAATATTATATACACACCACAGTTATGAGAGTCTTTACTGTATTTCTTTGATTTGCTGATGAAGCTGTGCTGATAAGCCTCAAATAGGCAAAAATGCAGTCCATAGCAGAGGGTATGGCAAATAAAAGAATATCATAGGCCTCTACAGCACAGATTATATTTTTAATTCTGTGTTTGGTGAAAAGAAATCTATAATACCATCATCAAACAGTTGGTCCAATGTATAACATAGAATGATAAATTTGGTACAATACCACATTATTATTCACATACTTAAATTAATTTAGATTACTCACTGCTAAGTTAAAAGTACTTAACAGGCCCCTCACAAGTCACTGGGGTACATTTTTGTTGAAAAAAAAATACCCAATCTGATTTTTCTTAATTTGAACTGAAATTTTTTGGACATTTTTATTGGCTAAAAAGAAGTCATTTCCTGAACTCTTTTAGAATTGGGGCTGTGAAAAGTGATTTGAAATGGTAAAGTGACTGAAATCTGTAAGTGAATCATAAGCTTAACGGCCAAGCACAAGAAGCATGGAAGTCTCCAAATGACATGCAGAAGAATTCAGGAACCATTTAGAACCACCTTAGTAGATGTTGTGGAGCAAGCTGAGTACAATATTATGCCTGTAACTGCTTTCAAGGTGTTCCTGTTTGTTCATCCTACTGCTGACTATCGTGATGCTTCGACCTTTGCTACTGAATCGCAGGTGAAATCGTTCATATCTCAATTGAAAGGTAAACATAAAAATGTGATAGAAGAAGCATAAAAGGTTCACAATTGTTTAATTAATGATGGTTAGGTTAGGCTTTATTGATATATACTGAATTTACTGGAGACTTGAGGATGCTGTATTTCACTTAAAAATTTATCAATTAAGAAAAGAAAACTTGTCCCAAAAAAGATACGTCCAAAACCACCCTCTTTGGGAGTTTCTAGATTGAACTTACTTTTAATATTCAACAAATTATAATGTAAAGACACTCCTGCAGGACCTGTTGAAAACACCATTAATATTTTTATAAGCTATATTTTTAATGTTATAATTTAAATGTTAGCTAGAGGGCACATCATGTTAGGATCAAGTTAGTCCTAGAGTATTTGGGAATATTAATGCTTTGCAAAATATCTAAAACAAGATTTACATTACAAATGTAGGTTAACCAGACAATTGGCTAAGTAAGCTTGCAGCTAAACAGTGAAGCATCAAAAAGAAAGAGTTGTTTTTAAGCTGATAGAGTGAATCATTTAGTGCATCTACATTTTTAGATCTGTATTAGCTATTGCACCTATCAAGTTACTTTGTTACAAGCAAGTTGTTGATTTTTATATTAGCATAATGCAGACAGCATGACTGTTAACATAAGCCAAGTTGCAAAGTGTACAAGCCTGTAAATAAATGTTAATGATAAAATGAAATAAAAGGACTTGCCAGCTAAAAGAATATTACAAGTGGGGTTATTTTAGTAAAAATAAAATATAATTTTGACTAAACTTCATCTGATGAAGATGATGACAGTAAGAGCAAAGAGTGAAAGTGAAGCATTGCTTGAGATTATGAAATTATTAAGACAAAATCAGGAAGAAATTTGCAGAAAATTGAAAAGGACCGAGAAAAAATAGAAAATTAAAAGAAGACCAGGAATAATGTGCAGGAATTTAACAGAGGAGTTAAAAGAAAGGGATTTACTATTTTAAGAAGAATTGAAATCAACTTAACTCTGATTGAGGACATGATTAATGAAACTATTGGAGATGTACAGAGAGATTACAACAAGTTTGAAGAAATGCATGGGAACATCTTAGAAGTAGATAGAGGATGTAATGACAAAACTGAAGAAGTGGAAAAGAACATCTATGTGAAAACAATACATTTGAAAAATTAATTATTAAATGCAAAGATTAAATCAACCACATCTCTTTCTGCATCAGCTCAAGCTTTCAAACCTAAAATGCCATCTTTATATCTTTAAAGGAAGCTCTGCAGTTGGCAATGTAACTAGAATTTAATAATGCTATAGATAAACTTCTAATGGCACCATCTACAAGTTATGTGAATATTAGATCCTGTAGTATTGAAACATCAATTCCTCCTTTCAATAGCATAGATGAACTGAAATTATTAGTTAGACAACTAGTTAAACAGGACAGAGGAAATAAAGCATAAAAAAATAGATGTTTTAAGTGTATCTCGAGGGGATATATTGCCAGGTACTGCAGGCAAAGGCCTGTATGGAATAAGAACTCCTCACAAAGGATACCAGAAAAAAGTAGCTGTTATAGATTTGGGGAATTTGACCATTACATTCAGGACTGTAAGAAATCAACAGTTTTATTAAGTCAAAGAGACGAAGCTCGACTAGAACAAAGCATCAACACGGATCTAATGAGACATAACTAAAACAGGAACTAGTTAACTGAAAATACTCCATCTATCCCAAATGAGGAAAGAAGTTTATTATTTAACCCGGTGACTACCGGCTACTAACTTTCTTAGTAGACAATGCAAGTCTTGCTATATTTCATTCCAACAATAAAACT